CGGATAGCTGCCACAGGGCTCGGGCAGGGGGGGGGCGCGCAAGGTGGAAGTTTTCCCCTAGGGCGTGAAACATCCTTGCACCTGCCCTGGGTGGGATCTGTCAGGTGTCAAATATATGCCTGTTGCTGTCCTGGTGCAAATTTGCTCAACTATGGCTAAATTATAAATCTCTGAAAAATCTCAGTTCAGGCATGCTGAGAGACTGGTTACAGTTTGGCATCTAAAATCTCTGAAGATTCTATCTACATGGGGTATACTCAAGCCTGGGGCTGAGCAACTTTCCCTGCAGTTCATCATGGTAATCAGAGGCAGCTATGGTTCTGGGCACAAGAACTGAAATTCTGCTGTGCTTTCAAGGGTCCTAGCCAGCGTGGAAGAACGGGATGAGGCAGGCTGCCTTGACAACAAGGGGTGGGGAGGAGAGAGGGTTTCAGGCATCAGAGGGCGGGGGGAAGGAACAGGAGGTGTTGGGTAACAGCACAGGAGTCAGAGATAGGCATGGTGTGCAAGGGTCTATAAGAGGAGGTTACTGTAACGCAGCATTTCTCAAACTGGGGTCTGTGGGTCCCCGAGGGTACCCCAAGGGATGCATGAGCCCCACTGATCAACTCCTCCCCTTCCCTCCTAGCTTGGGGGGGGGTGAACAGGGGCTCTCTGCACGCTGCCGCGATCGCCGACTCTGCAGCTCCCATTGGCCGGGAACTGCGGCCAATGGGAACTGCTGCAGGGATGGTGCCTTCAGGCAGGGGCAGTGCACTGAGACCCCCTTCTCCTCTTTCCCCCCCCCCCGCCACGCACCTAGGAGCTGCTGCCAGAGGGATGTGCTGGTCATTTTCGGAAGCCACCTGAGGGAAGCGCAGACTGACTGGTGCCCGCAACCCTGCCCCAGCCCAGAGCCTACACCCTGCACCCAAACTCCCTCCCAGAGCCTGCACCCCCTCCTGCACCCAACCCCACTGCCCCAGTGAGTGAGGGTGGGGAAGAACGAGTGATGGAGGGAAGGGGGATGGAGTGAGCAGAGGGTGGGGCCTCGGAGAAGGGGCATGGCCTCAGGGAAGGGGATGGGGCAAGGGCTGAGCAGGGGGCGGGTTGGGGGTCCCTGAAAATTTTTAAATCAAAATGGGGTTCTTTGGGTTGCTAAAGTTTGAAAACCGCCGCTGTAACTGGAGGTTCTTCAAGATGTGTGGTCCCTATTTGGATTCCAGGGGAGGGAGCACATGCGCACCATGCATCAGAGCTGAAACTGTTTGTAGTACTGTCTGTTTGACCTGCACATGTGTTGGTGCCTCCAAGGCTTTAAGAGGTTGTGCAGGTCGCTGCCACTCCAGGTCCCTCTTACCAGCAAGCAAAGGAGGCTGCAGCAGAGGGGATGGATGGCGGGTACTGGAATCCAAATAGGGACCACACAGCTCAAAGAAACTCTAGTTACGTATGTTACCTCCTCTTCTTCTTCGAGTGATTGTCCCTATATGGATTCCGGACGTGGGAGAGTAGCGAGCAGTGCTCATCACAGTCTGTAGGACGGTGCAGCCAACTGCTGCACTACCACCTCCACAGGTGTGATGGTATAGTGAGTGGAAAAAGTGTGGACGGAGGACCACGTGGCCATCCTACAACTGTCCTGCCACAGTGTCTGCGGGGAAGGTTGACATGGTAGCATGTGCACTCGTGGAGTGGACAGTGCCTCCTAGGGTGAAAGGAACATGAGTGAGAGCATAGCATTCCTCAATATAACAGGAGATCCATTCAGAGAGGCGTTGCGAGGAGCAGGCGCAACCTGAGCAGCGCTCCATGATGAAGAGCTGGGGTGAGGCACAGAAGGTGCGGGTGCATTGGTAAAAGGCTAGTGTCCAGCGGACATCG